GACTAGGGCCTTACCATTCCGCCTTCCCATGCGGCGAATCGACGCAGGGCTCGGAAGATGACCAGGAGAGGAATCGGTGTGGTTTCTTAAACCAGACTCGAAAATGATGAAACATATATTAAAATTGTGGGAGTCTGTCATATTCTGTAATTATATGTTATGATATAGTTTATACATATTAACTGTTTCTATAATTATTAACTGTCTATAATTGTTATTAATTGTTTTTTGGCTAATGGTGATATATATCATCGTTTTTTTCTGTTGAAAAAAGCGACCCCATGTCGACCTCACCGCGAAGTGTCGGACAGATCTGGCTGGTGACTGGGACAACACAGTCCCTGACATTTTGTGATTTGACCATATTGCTATCATTGTGATTGGTAAATAATGATAGAAACACCAATCATAATGATACTAATGATAGAAACACCAACCATGGGGGATAGATCTCAACATATTCATGTTTTTGTGGGTTTTAAGCCAACATTTGCTATTGGTTGGAGACTTGTGAGGATATCGATCAGCAATGATGGTCCGCTTTGCTCCCTGCTTCTTTGCGCTTCTTTCCCTTTCTGTTTTTGCGCTTTACTTTTCGATCACCACGAAATCTTCACTTCCCATACTCCTCCAGAATCCGTTGGCCGGAACGGCTGGGACCGTACTTAAGCAACAACAATAACAACAACGAGACCAACAACAAGAAAAAGGACAACACAAAGAATAAAAAAACACATAATAAAATAGCAATAAAATAATAAACATGATAACACGAAAAAAAAATCACGAAGAAGAACAAGAACAAGGACGCCAGCTCCTCCACCACCCCCACCACCACCACCACAACGACGACAACAACAACCACAGCCTTGAACATGTCCTACAAGGTAACATGACCAGTTCTAGCTCAAGAAGCTCTGTAGTTAGATCATGCGACATGAGAAGGTCTAGCCCGAAAATATTACAAATACAGGGCGACGAGAAGCAGAAAGAACAAACAAGTCCGCACTTAATATTTGATGAAAGAAAACGACAGTTTCGCTCTACCCAGGATCATCCAAACTCTAGGCCAAGTTGGCAAGTTTGTGGTCCGCACACCGTTGGCCAGGTGTGGGGCGCATGCTGGGATGCCACTAGTCCCGGCATTTTCACCCTTGAGGCCAACGCATCCTGATGTCAGGATGTTTGACAGCGAGACGATGCGCTAAAGTGCTCGCTGGGGGGTTCCAGGATTCCTGGCCAGCATGTGATTAGGGGAGGCCAAATGCTTTCGGAGTGGTTTTGCACTCCTTTCGGGAACCGCTCTGTTTTTGGTGTGCCATTCTGTCAATGCCCTGGAGTTGCCAAAGACACTCGAATCGGTTCAGCCCAAGCGACACTTTTAACCCCGGTTGGTCGCAGTAGCGACCATTGTTTCAGTTTGTGGCCACAAGTTCCCAGACATTTACGCAGCCTTGAGCTGTGAAACCGGTCTATGTTCGATCCTGTCTATCTGACAGCCGACGATGAGCTAAAATGCTCTGGTAGTTACTGTACATACTATCCTTGGCTAGAAGGGTAGGCCAGACATTGTGGACAGTTTTGTTTGCTATGAGTGTGGCTGAACTTGCGTTATTTTCTCTCGAAATCAGCCCTGTCAAAGTCCAATTTACCAAGAATAACCAAGGGTATTTGGGTGCAGTTCAGGCTACACATGGGTATTACATGGTATTACTACAATGTGGGGCCCCCCTAGATAGCTAAGTTGGTTTATAACTCCTATAACCATGATTTTTGGTACTTATAACTTATAACTATATATATAGTTAATGGGGTTTATAGAGCAACTTATAACTGGGGGGCCGCAGGACTGTCTCAGACGGCATTGCTCGCATTGCCCCGAAGCCTCCCTGCCAGATGCAGAGCTGGGTGCGCGGGGGTTGAAGGTGGAGGTGGTTGACATGGGGTGTTTCCCCCTTTAAATGTGTCTTGGAGAATGGAGGACACCACATTTAAATGGTGGTTTCGATAGGGGGTACCACTAAATCATCCATTTACAGATGGATTGTCCCTTATAAACCATCCATTTTGGGGCAGCACCATTTATGGAAACCCCCAAATGTTACTAGAATGATCAATGATACGTTTCCAAGATGGGAGACTTTCATCATATTACATTGCCCTGCAGTGTGTATTATGCATCCATGTCCATGTCTCTTTTGGGTCACCCCAGAATGGCGATAATATCTACATCGATCAACCATAGCTGGGTATAATGAGGCGGGACTGAAGGAAACAATGCACATACCAAGCAAACCTGCATGGGCATGTACTGGAGAATAGCTATCTATAAAAACAACCACAACAACAACAACAACCACAACAACGACAAAAACAACAACAACCACAACCACAACCACAACCAACCACAACCAACCACCAACCACCAACCACAACCAACCACCAACAGCCAACAACCAACAAAGAACAAAGAACAAAGAACAACAAACAACAACCAACAACCAACAACCAACAACCAACAACAACAACAAAAACAAAAACAAACAAACAACAAACAACAAACAACAAACAACCAACAACAACAACAAGCAACCAACAACAAACGACCAACAACAAACAGCCAACAACCAACAACCAACAACCACAACAACAACAACAACGACGACGACAACAACAACAACAACAACAACAAGAACAAGAACAATAACAATCAAAATCGCAAGAACAACAAGACCACTACCAGCAGCAACAACAACAGCAACAAAATAAGGACAAACACGAGACAAACAAGCAGCAGCAGTGGTAGTGTGCAGCCAATAAGCGACCAATATTGAGTCATGCGTAAAAACAAAGTACTCAAGACAGGAAGGACGCCACCGTAGTAGTTGGAATTATCCCAAAAATAGTGATTCCCCCACAACATCCCAAGCCATTCGTGGCCTCAGTTATTGTATTATAACCCCCATGGCCATGAAGTAGTTCGATCTCCTATGGAAATTATTTCAACCACCTTGGCCTTGGCCATTTAGCTCCCTGGGCACCTGGGCCGGACAGGTCGACAGCACTCCAGCCAGTCAGCCTACTCCACCCGCTCGCAAGGGTCTCTGTCGCTTGCCGGAATGCGTTTGTTGCGGGGGTCACGTTTTGTTGCCACACATGAGATAAGAATGGATAAGATGCTTCCAATGTAGAAGACACGGATAGGGCATGATAGGGTTACATAATAGATATTCAATCATGTCCCACGGTTATCCCAGAGATATCCCAATATTCTATAAGTATCCCATAGTTTGAATTAGTTGGACCCTTTTCATGATGTCAACCTTTTTTGTTCAGTGAGTTATCCCTCAAAATTTCATGATGATTCAGTATCTCATAGTTATTCCATAGTTATCCCATAGTTATTCCGTAGTCATCCCGTAGTTACCCCATATCATTTTGTACATATACAAGTATATGATATCAGGTATCCCATTGTTTTTCTCTCCGTTATTTAGTATATGATACTGATGATATATATATATATATATACATATTTAATAGTGTATCCCATAGTTGACTTCATTTCAATGATGGTTCAACCATTGTTTCAGGAAGTTCTCCCATAACTTACGTTTTCTCCAAAATTGCAGTAAGTTGTTCGATCGTTTTCCCATTGCTAGATCATTCTTGGATGGGTAGTTTAATCCTTTGTTCTTTAAATAGAAACATCTACATTCACCAACTAAAGATTTTATCATTGTGCAGGGTATCAAACATCGGCAATGGTAAAACACCAATGTTATGGTTAGAGGGTCTAGGTAGAATGATAGATTGGTTGATAGGTAGATATGAATATAGATTAAGTTAATATGTATATTCACACCATGCTGTGTCTGGAGATTGATGATAGCTTGGTGATTTACCGACAGCTATTTGAATATATATATATAATATGGATACTTGCATATTGATTGATATTTGATAAAATCAACTATCATAACAATTTATGGATATCAACAATTTGATCAATATATAGTGTGATATATTAAGGACATCCAACAGTCCTAAAGAAAGGGATCTAGATACTGTTAGAAGCAACCTTTCAATATATATATATATATACTCTCTGGTTATTTAACATAGCCATGGAAAATCACAATTTTAATAGGTAAACCTCTATAAATGGGCCATTTTCCATGGCTATGTTAAATAACCAGAGGGTATATATATATATATATATAGCATTTATATATCATACTTGATGGTTAAACCACCATTTTTCCGATCGGCATCCAGCAGGTTCCAGAGCAGTCGCGTCCTGGAAGCCGCTGAGGGCGGCATGGGCGGCGCCGGCGGCATGTGATGGTGGCTATGGTGGCCAGTGCCCATGGCGGAGTTCGTCATGGAGAACAAAAAACGTGAAAAAGCAATGGGTTTGATAGGATTTATATGGATTTATATGGATTTATATGGATTTATATGGGTATGATTTATATGTTTTTTGTTTGGGAATAGTGGGATATTTTGAAATTGGTTTACAATCAGCTTGTCAGGAATATGATGCGGACATGTTGATTGGACATGAATTTACGTTGTGTTTTTGTGTGAATTGGTTTGATTTCTGTCTCCACAGTTGTGGATATGATAAGGTATGAAGTACACAAGTAAACTGAACTTAAACGCAAACTGGAAGACTTGGGATCACCCTCTTTGATCTGTCTCGATTGGCCCAATCCCATTTTTTTTGGTCCCATGGGATTGGCTATTTTTTTTCAGAGGAAGAACCTGATCCGTCTGATACCATTAATCATTTTTGGTGCTACCTTAATACCATCATATAACGCTATAATATAGATACCATTTGGTAATTTAACGTAGCAATGGAAATCACCGTGTTTAATGGGTAAATAATCACAAGTAATCTATAAATTGGCAATTTCCCATAGTTATGCTAAATAACCACAGAGTATACCCTCTGGTAAACTAACATAGCTATTGAAGGTGGTGATAGAAATAGTTCATTTACCCAAAAAACATGGTGGTGTTCGAGTCAGGGGAGTGACCAACATGTTTTTCTAAGGTATCTAAGGTTGGCCATGATACTTCCGGCGTCCATTTTAAAGGACCCAATGGCCGTCCTGTCCGTTTCAATGTGCGGGCAGCAATGGGATTTGATGGCCCAAAGAGACAGGAACAGTTCGATCAGTTCATGGTGGCTAAGAGCTTACTAGCAATAACAGAGATTATTACTGGCATGATTATGGTATTTATACCGGATTGAAGCAAGCATTTGATGGGAATAGTGTGGCAATGTCATGGATAGGTTGAAGTCCTGGTGGCCCAGGGATTGATGTGGAAAACTGCGGCTCAACAGGTGGGAGAAACATGTCTCTTTGGGAGAAAAACTTGCAAGGCGTGTTCTCGCCATAAGTTCTACAGTTTCAGTTGAAAGTGCATTGCGAGCAGTTCATGGGGATTCGCCGTGGTGAGCATGTTGAAGTTGTCAAAGCCGGTTTTTGGTGCACACATGGGAATTTTCGTCACTGCAGAAGGAAAAACTTGATCAGTTCTGCCAAGTGAAGAATTCAGCAAACTGAGCGGCGAACTCATGAATTTATCGGTTTCCAGTATGTATAAACTGCTAGTTGAAATGCGATCGGAAAATTTCTGCCTCGGATTGTGACGCGCGAGACCTTGGGAATGGTCGCATTGAGGGGCCAAGCTGTTTTTCATGCATTGTGCTGATGTCCGACATGCTGAAGAGGCTATATACTTGAAACAATAGAAAATACATAATACGTAATATTATTTCAACGAATTTGGTTGAAGTGCACGAACCACGTATTTAGATGTGGTTACCTTGGAAGTATTGTGGCATGGCATTTGGTAACTCTTTCATGCCCATGTAATCAAACTATGAAACATGTCCATGTCAATCTCCTTGAGCTGCTCGTGGTTTTTTCAGTAGTTGGACTGGGTTTGAATCCTTGGAAAGCCCATCCCCAAGACATCAATGGAAATGGCAGCCAGGGTTTCCCACAATATATATATATATATATCTGGGTAAATTAGATAATGACCTCACTGCCACCTCACTGGAATGATAGTTATAGATAGTTATAGGATATCGTCTTATTTTTCAGGTTAGCGAATTATTGTTATTTATTGTGATGTGCCAGGAAATTATGTATCCACTGCATCCATATCAGAAAGGTATTTAAAACGGTTACAAAACATGTGCCAACATGTGCCAACCACCTCCAAGGCCTTCCGCGGAAAAAATCGCTGCTTCGCTTTTCCTGTGGGCCCTGGAAGGCTCTGCTGGGCTCAAAAGTTCGAGATATTGGGAAGAACTGATTTTGGATGGTTTTTCCATGATGATGGCTTGTTTTGGGATGGATTTTGGATGATATTTTCTTGATTTTGGATGGGTTTCGGATGAGGATAAGCTGGAGATGAACTTGGACTGCTTTTGGATCACTTCGGGAAAATGCTGATTCATCGTCCCATCAATCTTTGGTGCTTCAGTTCACTACTATTGATCAGATCCAAATAACGTGACGCAATGAATCTCCTGTGGAGGGTGGAGTCAATATGTTCTCAAACTGGGACTTATGTAGATATTATCAATATGTGTTTATGATATATATACCTTGCATGATATGATATCATATGATATGATGTGATATGATATGATATTATATATGTATATTACTGTATATTACTGTACATTACTGTATATTACTGTGTACTACTGTATATTATCATAGGCTCCAAACACCTCCCCCCCGGAACCCCCCCCCTAGAAAATAACCCCAAAACAGAAACCATCACCTCAAATAAATAAGGCCAAAATAAGATATAATCATTTCTGATTCAATGTTATTTTTTGGGGCCATTTTCTTGATGATTCAGAGTGGGAATACAAGAGACTATACAAACCGTATGCTCCTGGTGTCTTCGAGGCCCAATTAGAAAAGTGTTGTGAAAAAAAATGGTTTCCCGAGATGGGCAGCCCGAGCTGCTGAAATTAAACTGAGTCAGTGGACTTTAATTGCTGGAAAACTGGTACGGAACCTGATTCATTGTTTTGAGGAACCATGCTTTTCACCATTTTACCATTGATTTTGGTGCTGTTTCCACAGAAAACGGGCTCAAAACCATGGTTTTTGCAATGTTTTGCAACTAGTTTCATTATATTATAAGGTTGTCTTTACAGACAGCTGGCTCGAAACCATGGTTTCTGGCATGTTTTGCAGCTAGTTTCACCTTATTTTGACGTTGATTTGAAAGAATCTTCATGGTTTAGCCAAAACCATCAAAAACACATGGGTTTTTCGTCGATTAGTCCTTATTTCGACCTTATTTTGACCTTAATTTGACCTTATTTTGAGGTTATTTTTGGAAATCTAGGAGTTTGTAAAAACCATGGTTTTTACCATACTTTTCACCATTTTAGCATTGATTTTGATGCTGTTTCCACAGAAAACGGGCTCAAAAACCATTGTTTTTGCAATGTCTTGCAGCTAGTTTCATTATATTATAAGGTTGGTGGTGTCTTTACAGACAGCTGGCTCGAAACCATGGTTTCTGGCATGTTTTACAGCTAGTTTCACCTTATTTTGACGTTGATTTGAAAGAATCTTCATGGTTTAGCCAAAAACCATCAAAAACACATGGGTTTTTCATCGACTAGTCCTTATTTCGACCTTATTTTGACCTTATTTTGAGGCTATTTTTGGAAATCTAGGAGTTTGTAAAAACCATGGTTTTTACCATACTTTTCACCATTTTAGCATTGATTTTGATGCTGTTTCCACAGAAAACGGGCTCAAAAACCATTGTTTTTGCAATGTCTTGCAGCTAGTTTCATTATATTATAAGGTTGGTGGTGTCTTTACAGACAGCTGGATCGAAACCATGGTTTCTGCCATGTTTTGCAGCTATTTTCACCTTATTTTGACGTTGATTTGAATCTTCATGGTTTAGCCAAAAACCATCAAAAACACATGGGTTTTTCATCGATTAGTCCTTATTTCGACCTTATTTTGACCTTAATTTGACCTTATTTTGATGTTATTTTTGGAAATCTAGGAGTTTAAAAACCATGGTTTTTGCCATATTTTTCACCATTTTAGCGTTGATTTTGATGCTGTTTCCACAGAAAACGGGCTCAAAAACCATTGTTTTTGCAATGTCTTGCAGCTAGTTTCATTATTTTTTAAGGTTGGTGGTGTCTTTACAGACAGCTGGCTCGAAACCATGGTTTCTGGCATGTTTTACAGCTAGTTTCACCTTATTTTGACGTTGATTTGAAAGAATCTTCATGGTTTAGCCAAAAACCATCAAAAACACATGGGTTTTTCATCGATTAGTCCTTATTTCGACCTTATTTTGACCTTATTTTGAGGCTATTTTTGGAAATCTAGGAGTTTGTAAAAACCATGGTTTTTACCATATGTTTCACCATTTTACTATTGATTTTGATGCTGTTTCCACAGAAAACGGGCTCAAAAACTATTGTTTTTGCCATGTTTTGCAGCTGTTTTCACCTTATTTTGACGTTGATTTGGAAGAATCTTCATGGTTTAGCCAAAACCCATCAAAAACACATGGGTTTTTCATCGATTAGTCCTTATTTCGACCTTATTTTGACCTTAATTCAACCTTATTTTGAGGTTATTTTTTTAAATCTAAGAGTTGGTAAAAACCATGGTTTTTACCATATTGTTCACCATTTTACCATTGATTTTGATGCTGTTTCCACAGAAAACGGGCTCAAAACAATGTTTTTCTTCCATTTTTTGCAGCTATTTTCACCTAATTTTGATGTTGATTTGAAAGACTCTTCATGGTTTAGCCAAAAACCATCAAAAACACGTGTTTTTTTCATGGATTAGTCCTTATTTCGACCTTATTTTGACCTTAATCTGACCTTATTTTGATGTTATTTTTGGAAATCTAGGAGTTTGTAACCATTGATTTTGATGCTGTTTCCACAGAAAACGGGCTCAACACATTTTTTTTTATTTTTTGCAGCTAGTTTTTGAAGGAATCTTCAGGGCTTAGCCAAAAACGATGAAAAACATAGTCTTTTTCATCGATTAGTCCTTATTTTGACATTATTTTTGGAAATCTAAAGTCTTGGTCAAAAACTATGGTTTTGGCTACATTCAAAATTTTCTTTTCAAACGGGTTATTTCATAGACCCCATCAATGCTGATCCCTGGAGAACTTGTTTGTGAATTTGGGCCCTAAAAAATGAGTGATTTGGTGCATTTTTAAGATTCATCCATGGCGCCCAGCGCTGTCCAATCGGACTAAAACAAGAAAAACTCACATGAAATGGGTTGAACAAAAGCAAATATGATGTGGTGTTGTTCTTCTTTTTCCATTGCTGTTGTATTTGCTTTTTGGTTTTCCACTGGTGTCTCTGGTGTCATGCGTTTGTCTGAGCATTAGCCGTCGCAGCAAGACAACATCCTTCAAAACTAACGTAAAAAATAAGCCTAATTCAGGGTTATTTTTTTGGCATCCTTTGTCGATTACTCCTTATATTAGGCTTAATTTGGGAAAAAAATAAAGCCTTATTAAGGCCTTATTAAGGCCTTAATTATTTCCCACATGCGATTGGTTCTAATTTCAGGGTTATCTTAAACGGGGGGGGGGTTTGGGGGAGGGGTTGGTTGCTTATTGTGATATTACTGTATATATCACTATATTATATGACAATACCATGGCAAACGCTTGACCAAAAAAACAGTTCCCCAGTTGATCTCTGGATGCTGCAGAGGTTAGCATCCAACTGGGGTTTGCTTCCGATCTTTGTGGAGCACGATCGCTGGAACTCCCAGGTTGTCGAGAACCGGTTGACCCTCCAAGGTCTTTGTATCCACCAAAAAACAGTTAAATATCTATGGTTCATGATGGTTAACGATGGTAACCACACAATATTAAGTTAGATGTCCACCATTAACCAAATACGTATTGCAGATTTCGGGGTAAAACGCAATCTTTTTGGGTAGAAACGGAGGCACCGGATGCCAAGAAATGGTGGTACGCATCACGTAAAAATCCTCAATATCGATGCCAAAAACTTCCATCATGGTACACGAACTCAATTTCGTGGAGTTATGGCACGACATACCAGTTCCAAGTCAGTAAGTATATTATACATGCATTTTTATGGAATGTATAACCCCATTTATAATATTTATATAACCACCAAAATCATTGCTACTGGGCTTGAACTGTAGATGAAAATCGCATGTTAGGCACGGCTGAGGTGCTTTGCATGCTGAGCGCCAGGTGGGCCGAAAGGGGAAACATGTTTTTTTTTCAATGTGGGTAAATGCAGTAAAACTAACATAGCTATGGATAACCACCGTTGTTTATGGGTGAATCAACTATAAATGACAATTTTCTATAGTTATGTTAGTTTACTGGAGGGTAATGTGTCAAATTCTAAGTCATGTGGGTAAAACAATATCATAAACCACCCATGACTGGGAATGGTTTATACCATACCATCTATAAAAATGGTGATGACTGGGGGATGGTACGAATGGCATTGTTATTTTCCCACATTATTTGACTCTTGGTGCCTAAGATAGCTAATTATATATTTGTGAACAGTCCATAGCCTATTCATCGACAGTTGAACATTGACGATTTAACTGATTCAAGCTACTGGCCAACTATGGCCAAAAACTGTAGATTGTTGTTATTACTATACCTGACACATTGATGCTTAAGGTTTGGAAACGGGTAGATCGAGACCTAGAGTGAATCCGACATACTTGTGTAGATCTTCTGAAGAAGGTTAAACATGATTCCCGCTCAGAAAATGAACATAATCTTTGAGGGAATCATTTGCATTGCCTTTCAACGGAACGCCAAGGGGCGGTTCCAGATTTTGACATGAGTTGTGTTAAAAACTCTATTGGTTTTCCTGAAAATCTGAGAGATCTTACTGCGTCATACTGTCAAAAAATCACCAAATTTTTACCCTCGGAACTTCAACCAGTATATTGCATTGACAATTTGGATCCATTCAACACTGCCCAATTTATCACCCTGGTTCCAGGCGCTGCTGCTAGCTTTGGGCTTTATGCAAAGGCGTCTATTCTGGGGTCCAGTGGGGTCCATGCTATTCTCATGGGGGTTTCCATGGGGGTACACCAATGGAAATGGTTTACTTCATGGAACATCCCATCTATAAATGGATGATGACTGGGGGTACCCCCGTGACTTAGGAAATCTCAATGTATCACTATGATTCACTTTGAGTGATAAGATATACCAATATCACTATGATGTTTCCTATATCACTTAGGAAATCTCAATATTCACTATTAATATATCACTTAGTGATTCACTTTGATGCTGTTCTTGTTTCGATTCTTGGCGCTGGATCGCTGCATCCCAAGACTCCCGCATTTCGGCCAGACAATCTCTGAGTTGCGCAGGAACATGGAAGCTGATGCTTCGAATGCTTTGAAATCATGGCTTCCGGTGAATGATTTTGGGGATAATCATGTCAAGTCAAGTTCATATTGCCAAACTTTTTTTTGGACTGTGGGTGTTGATTACTACGGGCTGTTTAATAATATGAACTCAACATTATTATGTTGTAATCCACTAATCTGCGTTAATGCGATGTGGGCGTCATGCTTTGGCGTCACTGCTTGAAGCCACGTGGGGGCCTTCGATGGTCTCAGCTGCTTTTGGTGGCCGTGCCACTTGGCGGTGTTGCCGTGTTACCATGGCAAAACAAGTGGAAAATCACCATTTTTTTAGCGGGCAGATCAACTATAAAAGGCCATGTTCAATAGCTGTGTTCAATTACCAGAGGGTATCATATTTACATATCATATAATATTTGCTGATATCTAGTACAAATATGATCTGATTTGTATAGCTGTATGTTGCTTTTAATATTATTACAATTGACTTTACATTGTATGAATATAGGCCTGAAACGGATATATTGCAGCACATATGATATATACTAGCTTAATACTAGCTTATTCTATAGATTGACAATTCCGAATTATCTATTATTGTATATTCGAGTTCTGCAAGAACAGATTTGCATAGATTGCACATAGATGGTATATTTGACAGATTTAGATAAATTACATGTAGCTGTGTATTTGTGGAGATACTATCTATATCTATATGTACAGTCCTCATTAGTTGCACATTTTGGATTTGAGCTATATGTATATATATATAAAGTTCAACCCTGGATTCATAAACCCCTGGGCTGCTTAACGGGGGGGGGAGTACCATTTGAGTAGCAGATTATCACCCTTTGGGGGGGATATGTTCGCAGGGTTTATGTATTTGGTAGACAAGCAGTGGGGATGATTTATCATCTAAAATTGTGATTTAACCATCAAACATGTGGATTAATATAGCCATCAAAGCAGGGTCTTTGTTGATGTTCAATCCTTATGGATCCAAGTATTTATGAGAGATTTCACGCGGCAAGTTATACCCCAAGTACTCTTTGTGAAGGCACTTTATACATGATTCATTGTAGGAAATGCCACAAACATGTGCATTTCAGTTCTCATACATGTTTTTATTACACACATGTAAAATATATAGTATAATATTTTACATATATATATACATACATATTACATATATATATATATATATACTTTTTTTTGAATATAGATTGTACATGATAATCAGCAATCCCCTCAAATCACCATAAATGAGCATAAATGGTTTGTACAAATCATCCTCACATGGTAGTTCTTTATGGCATTGGGTTGCCCACATGATACATGAGTGGGAAAAATCCCAAGAAGCTCTGCATTAAAACCTTCTAAGGATTTTTTCTTATACCCCAAAACTCTATATACACCAACTTTATGGGACATAGAATCCATATATAACCCTTTGTATGGCAGTTTTATATGTGTTATACTTTTTCAACTCACTCTGCAGGTTGCGAATCGCAGCCCAGGTGCTTTCGCCCCTGGCAGACCTTGCTTTGGTCCACGGCCCGTGCGGCCGGGCGCAGCTTGGGAAATGGAAAGGAAGGCACCGTTGCACCGGTTGGCGGGGGCGGGCCACAACAGTGATTTAAAGAGTGATTTAACTATCAAAAATGTGATTTCCTGGGATTTAACAACTAGAAATGCTGATTGAATTGGACTTTACCGCCAAAAAATGGTGATTTAATTGGATTGAACCACTGATTTATGGTAATTTCTGAGGTGTTTTCATGAAGTCTTACTTTCTGGCTATTTACCAGTTTGCTATATTGGTGGAATATTACCACCTTTGTTGTGAGTTGATGTGATTTCTAACCAACCCTACTGGTTTTTAACCGTTTGCTACGGAAGCCACGGCGCATCGAAATAGGTGATATATACATATATATATGTGTATGTACCTAGCTATGCAAATGGTGGTTGTCCAGTTCACTACATTAAATCACCAGATGGTGAACCAACAAACATTGGTATCTATAAGTCCAACATATAGTATTGAAGTTGTTCAGTAATAAGAACATGTGCATGTATGTGTATTTTTTTTTACGTAAGAACATGTGGGCTTATGTTCTTGAGCAAGAAAGCTGTGGCTTCTAATAGTCACAAAGACTTGAGAATCCCTAAAATCTTGGCTTTACACAACCAACCTGCTTTGTTCAAAAGACGTTCCACAACTGACACGGTGACGCAACCTGCAAAATGATAGCGTTGATGATCCGCTCAAAGCTCCTTCCAAGACAACTCAGGTACTTGTCCCCAGGGTATCCTCTAGTTAGCTAGTTTGGCTGGAAAATGACGCCCTTTTTAGATGATGAACACCTTTTTCCTGTAGTTTCCATTTCCGTTTTTACTTATGAGAGGGGCATTTCGTTTGCTAAGTTGGTTTATGACTCGGTTAACTAGGGTTTATGCGGATGATATCTTTACTTAGATGGTAGTAAAGCAACACACACGCACCGTTTGGGAAGACCAGCCTATAGATCCCCTATGTTTGTCACTGAAGACAATGTGTGTTATTGCTGAACTCCACAAATTTTGCTCCATTGAATTCCTGTGTTGGTTGTTCATTGAAACTTATCTTACCATGTTTATCATTGGTTGCAGATTTTTCCAGAGAAATCAAGGAAAACCTAGCGGAAACATCCATATTTTGAAGGGAAACATCGGTGCGTTCAAGGCGGTCACAGCTTTCGAGTCGTGACTTACAACATCCTCTCGCCCACCCTTTGTTCCTGGAGTGAATTTTCGGTGGTGAATGGAGGGAGCATGGGGCCAATGGGCTAAGGAGCTTTGGTTGTATCGCGTTGCATCTTCCCAATATAAAAGGAGAAAGCCAGGGAGCTGCGAATTGAGTTTCCGAAGCACAATTGAATTTCCTAAGGACGTGATAAGTTCTTGATGAATATGTGTGTCCAATTCAGTTCGAAAAGGTAAACAATCAAAGCTCCACCTTTTGTTGGTTTTATGAGGTTGGAGAGTCCTGGTGGATTGGATTTGGGTAAACTGCAAGTTGAATGGTGGTGAATTGCTGATTTCTTGTTGTTGATGAGGAATATGGTATCTTGCTGCATGAGTCTTTTTTGGGGGGAGGCGGGGTATGTATGTAACAGCAATGGCATGGCATGGCTATGGTTGTTTTGTTGCTGTGTCCAATGTTCTTTGATATCCTGTCATGCTCATACTAACGTTGTGTTAATTGTGTTAACTTATGTTCTGTTTTATTGTCATGTGATATTGTGTTTTATTGTGTTGTATGTATGTTGGTTAAACAAAAAAATCCAGTGATGTATTTGGTTTTATCCTTTTACGCCACCGATCATTTCACACGCATGCGGCATGCACCTTGCAAAAGCAGTCTCTGCAGCGCGCAGGAAACGTTTTCCGCACTGTAAACCGGAAGATCTTCAAGAACCTGTGCGTGCCTTGACTTGATTTCTTGGCACATGTTATTTCCAAAGTGATGTCAACTCCACAAAGCAGGCTACTTCAAATCGCATGTTGCCATTTTTTACCATACATTCTATGACGTATCCTGTCAATATTTTTGGATTCAGACCAGGATTAGCAGGATGGGCAACAGCAGGTCGACTTGGGTGGCGCCTGAGCACAAGTCCCATGCCGCGAGTGTACATGTTGAATGATTTTAATGCTGCTGAATGGGAAGCAGAACGATATCCATGATATCCAACCTTGTCGGAGGTTTCATATGTGTTGAAGATGTATTTTCCATCCAATGAATCCAAGCTGCTCCTAGCTAGTACTTTGATCCCTATGGACTTTAATATTTTTCAGGATGGGCAGCTGAACCATGGCCAAGAATCACCTTGCCCTGCAAGGATGGGAGCGAGTGGTGGCGAAGTTTCTTTGCGAATCGCAAGGGTTAGGACGAGGATGGTGTTTGCTAAAAACGAGTGAGCTTGAGCGGTTCTTAAGAAAATACAACCATAACGTGGGATAACGCTGGTATGAGTGATTTATTTGCCGACCATCAAAGCGGATTGTTTGATACTAAGCTTGACAATTTGCGAGATTGCGCGGGTCACTTTGTATGACCCCAATTCAAATAGTCTTGACACATGACTTCATGACAGGGGGGTTGGCCATGGCCCCTCTCTATCGAACAGTCGCCAATAAAATCATGCTGCAGAGGTTGGGGCCCTAAAGCTTGGCTGATAGGATGCGATAGGATGTGATAGGATGTGATAGGATGTGATAGATGCTTTCGACAAAGATGTGGCTGACCATGTAACATTTATAAGTTTGATTGACTACTTTGATACATTATATAAACTGTTTTAAGATCATTGATTGTTTTTTTGATGATGTTTGTGAAGATATAGCTGATCCACCGGTAACCAACCATAACTGTTTTTCAAGCATCCCCAAAGAGCGGAGCCGACATGACACGCTGACCGGGACAACATCACCGTGATTGTGGAACATTATGGCATGATGATTCGATCATATTTGATGACCTTAGATGACATGTACATTGTTTAGAGATCATTGGCAGTGGCAGTGGTCAAGATGTTCCATGATAATCGATTATTAACTCTAATTCAAGATATCATGGAAATTCATGGAACACAATCATCCCATATGATCCCAATATTACCATAGAAAATTTTGATTTCACCATGGAAAATGGCTATTTTACCATGGAAAATTGGCATTTTATGATGGCTTCCTCCTCCTGGGCATGTCCCATGAGGCTGGACCATGCAATCGCCTCCAAGCCCACGGCGTTGGCCTCAGGATCCGGTGGTTGGGGATCCCCAGTCACCAGCCAGGTTTCACTTTGATAATGGTTGGGGATACCGTAATACCCATTGAAAATGGTGGATATCCCATAGAAATAGTGGATTTACCCATTGAAAATTCTAAATCTTTCCATAGTTATGGGACTGTTTACCAGAGGGTAAAGGGATTCTACCGCCTCAATTTCTGTTTGTGTCCGTTCTGTTTGCACCAATCCTTTCCCCCAAGATGACGCTTACATTTTGGGCCCGCAAAATGAACACTTCCACCAGTGTTCAGCTACCTCCCGGCACAGCTTTTTGTCCTGAAAATGAGGGATTTGTCCTTGGTGATCATCAAAAGTGTATCATAATATCATAATATTAGTATGATATATTATATTCTATGATCATCACGATTTTTATATCCCAACTTTTGATATGTATCATAATATTATTTGATAGGTGTCCTATGATATGTGTATTTCCCTATTTTCATCATCACTTTCCCAAAGATCAACCGTTGCCATTCCCAGCCAGCCCTCCCTACGGCCCAGGTGATTTGCTTGCAGGAAGTGGATGAGACTTGGGCAGGGCGACTGCACAGTCACTTCCAAAGCCACCTGGCCGTGGATTCCAAGGTCATGGTCGATGAGTCATGGCTGGTAAAGGCTGGATGCTTATTCCCCCAGTCATATGGTCATTTCATAGGTAACCCAGGACCCAGGACCCATATAATATGACCATTGGTGGGAATAAATTTACAGAATAATGGGAATTCGGAATATTCCTTGGTGTGTATGGACAGTGTATGTATATTATATATACATATATACATACATATTTGTATATATATATATTACATATTACATATATATATATATATACACATATATATAAATACATATTTATATATACATATTGATATATATATACACGATATATAATATATACAATCATATATACATATGCGCATCATTATTGGGAACACATGGGAATGTATGGTGTATAGTGCACAATATGGGAACATGATGTAATCCCATCCCCCAAAATTAAACAATGCATAATTTACTTTTTTTTGTTGTTGTTTTAAATCCCTTGGTTCATGGCATGGTAGGTTAAAAAGGATATTCCCAGTTCACGGTTCATGTGAATCCCCATTTTTAGTGAGTAGCACCCACCTGGTAATTTAACATAGCCGTTGGAGCCATGGCCGATGAAAGTAGATGATTTACCTCGTAAAAATGCGTTTTGTTTGCTACAAAACTCGCATTGGAAACCGTGTCCAGTTTTATCATCAACTCCTGTTTCCAGCATCATTTCATCATTTGTGGCTGCGAAAGCTTACGCATTGCCATTCGCAAGACTTCCTTTTTTGGCTGAGAAGTGTCATGCAAAGCCGCAGAAAATGTGTCCCGAAGTCGCGGCTTTGCCGAGGCAAAGACTGGCATTTTGTCTCTTGGACTTCTCGTGGGCTCAGTAGTTGGTCCATAACCCTGAGGAGAAATATCCAAGTCAACATTAATCTACTGTATATGGTTTCACATGTTTTCTGTTTGTACCTAAAATATCCTAAAATCAGATGGTTCATTCACAGTTTCCCGGGAAAGTTGTCGTCGAAACTTGTGTGTAAATCTCACATTGTTGGTTACTTATCACATTCGATCATATTCCAACCCACCCAAACACAATCCTCATGGCTGGTCACACCTTGTTGTACCACTATTAAGTCACTATTTTGCTGATTCACATTCCCCTGTTTGGCCGGTGATTTCGATCATAGCGGTTGGTGCCTATTCCCATGGACAGGTCCATAGATGAAACATTTAGACCCGCCTCCCATGTTTTGATGGCTGAATCCTTTGATAAGACATTACCGCGAACTGGAAAATCAACATCTTATACCTAGGTAATCAACTTTTTCCCATGGGCCATTCTCCAGTTCGCTATGTCAGCCATTACCAGAGGGTAGTTGCCTCAGTTTTGAATTCAAGACATCGATTAAATCCCAGAGTTGCGTGTTTCTTTTTGGTCAAATATCCAGCATTTTCGCAATGGACCAACTTGGTGTGAAGCTTAGATCGCACATCGTCGTCTCATACTTTTCCGCTAGAATATCCAACTGTCCATCTTTGATGGTTGTTTACATACTTCTAGTATATTTCCCTGTGTATTTCCACATATTTCATGGTGAAGTAGCCAGCATTTTCATATGAGCTACAGCCAAAATTTAGGTTAATGGAGAGTAGTATTTGAGACATCTTTATTTTTTGGAAATTGAGCTGGGGCTTGGAAAACCATAATACACTCTTCAAAAAACGATATCATTTGCTTACATACCAAAACCTGAAAAAACGATAATACATTCTTCAAAAATTGATGACTTGGAGCTATATACCAAATATTGACCGTGGCCCATATGTCTCCATATTTTATCTTTGATGTTGTGCAATACCCAATATTTCCATATATATATATATTTAATGGTGAAGTAGCCAGCATTTTCAGGCATTTTCTTGGACACGTGAGGCTTATGCCATGACACCCATGACGTACTTCAAACCCATCGGAGTGGCCATGGCCTGGCCGAAAGATCTTCGCCTTGAGGATTGATTCGTGTTGGGGGAAAAATATGGTAACAGCCATGTATTTCAGGGATTTCAGGTATAATTATATATATATTATAGTATATATATATATAGTATATAATATATATATATATGTTATATATATATACAATGTATGTACTAGTATATATGTAATTATGTACGTGTAATTATATATATAAATGTAATAATGTATATATATATATATACACATAACCTATAAGCGGAGAGATTAGTGCATGGGGATGTATTTGAGAATATCAATCAACAAACATGGTCGCACTAACCAGAATCCCAAGTTATTGCGATCAATCGGAGGTGGGGATAAACATCTTTAGACAGACCCAACTGGATCAAAACAGGCATCCATAATATTTGTGTCGATATTAGTGTAATGAGGAAAACAAGGAATGGAAAAGTGGGTATCTAATTTTCAGACAGCTCCCCGGGTAGATGATGTGCGAGTGGCATCGCTAAAGGCATTCTGAATCTCCTGAATCTATGTTTGTTTGCTACGGACACAACCGGTGTTTTTAGCACATGATTGATACAAAAAAGTGTATTTTTTGAATTTCAGACCATTGACCCGGTCAGGATATTAAACATAGCTATGGAACATGACCCATTTGTAGATGATTTACCCACTAAAAATGTTGGTTTTCCATCCATGGCTATGTGCAACCCCATGATATGTAGACGAAGAAACCAGACGTTTTTGGGTTGTGCTACAGGCAGGTTTTGCTCCACAATCCCAATCAACTACCCTCTGGTTATTTAACATAGCCATGGTATAGATGGCCCATAGAAATAGATGGTTTTCCTATGTTTTCCTATCAAAAATAGTGATTGTCCATGGCTATGTCTATGTTAAATAACCAGATGATACAATTTGTTGTTAGTTTCGACATGTGACAACCCCTTTTCAATGTGTCAATTCCACATGTTCACAACTGACACTGATCTTTTTTGGGGTGAATTTTCCCCATGATTGTTTCACCTTTATTTGTCCGACCCACTAAACAACAACATGGAGGTTTCCTAAAATAGAGGTACTCCAAATCATCCAAGTCATTAGACAATTTTACAGTACATATGGAAACTCATGGTGACTTGGGGGGTTCCCCGATTTGAGAAGCCACCTTTTTGTTCAATCGATCAGTGAATTTTCCCCATTCAGTTTCCACTGATGGTCGAACTCCACGGATGGTGTGAACCATGGGATCACGGGATGTTTACCATCGACTATATACTCACTATACCATACCCGTACCTATACCTATATATATATAATATGTCTAGATATTAATTCAGGTATATGATATGCCACCCATGTTATCCTTATGCCTCCTTATACTCACTATATATATATATATATATGTATATATTTTTATATATTATTGATATACTGATATTTATACAGATAATTATACCAGATGCTATACAATATACTCACTAATATACTCATTTATACAGGTATATGCCATTATTATTGATTTTTGCTACCCATAAACCATCGTTTTTCGCAGGACCCTCACCGTGTCGCTCGGCTCGTTAGCCGTGGCAGGACTTGCGCTTCCTGCGGGTCTCGGAAGTGCTGCCGCAAGTGGCGGTTCCGGAGGAATCTTTCTGGCAACGCTTCAAGGTGGACGTGGTTTCTACTTGGGAAATGCCGTTTTCGTGGCTTTTGTTATGGGATGTTATGGGTAAATATGAATCTATAGTGGGGATTAAACCATGTAAAATTGGGTGTTCAATGGATTTTGGATGGTGAAAAGTGGTGATTCACATACCATGAACAATCGGGAGTTCATAGGAAACATGGATATTTCAATGGATTTTGGCCTTACTTTCCAGTAATAAAAAAAAACAGACATGTGTTTTCCAGCCACCGTTCAGTCACGTTCCGTTGAACCAGAGGGTAGCCATGAAGAATCGGGTGATTTTTTTGCTTAGACTAACATCACTATATGGAAAATCGCAATTTTTCATGCTATTCATGGGTAAATCCACTATTTCGACTGGGTCATTTTCAATAGAAAACTGTCATCCATCTATTGTTACGCGATATCTTAGACCTACCGGTGCGTGCTAAACGCAGGGTTGCTGGATGGGTTGCTGGGGGTAAAGTGAACATGATCATCCTTTGGAATCGTGTTCACTGATGTGTCGACATGTTTTTCACTAAGAGCTTGTTTCTGCCGATCTCTAGTTCAATCAATATCAATTGTAGCTATCTATGATCTATGCATCTATTGTCTTTCTATCGCTGTTCCCCTTCAGCTGCAGATCTTCACACTTCATCTCCGTACCAAATGGGACTGTGTGATTAATCATCTGTTTGACCGTTGAAACAGCCATGAATTGGATCATGTTGTGGATAGCAGTTTCAGACAGACACAAGTATCATAGTTGGTTTATGTTGGTTTTAATATCCCATTAATTCACATATTTCCATTCATATATGTATAAATATATATATATATAGATACATATATATATATATATATATACATTTAATAATCGGTTACATGTCCCATCATATCTCCATATATCATCATTTGGTGAAATCCGTTGAAATCCCCATCATGAAGCCATAAAACCAGCGGTTTTCCCCATGATTTTCCAACGCCGCCAGGCGCGCCTCCGGTCCCTCGTCGCGTCGTCTTCGCCGAAGCCGAGCGCCGCGGGCGCCGCGGAGCCCTGGTCCATCGCGGCGCGAAAGCAGAATCGCGTGCTGGCCATGCGCTTGGAGCCGCGCGGTGCTGTGGAAGTGGTCGATTTTTTGGGATGTTATGGCATGCTATGGCCTATAGATATGGCATATGATATATATATATATATTCCAGTTAATGATACATATCATATGTTATAGATATCTTATAGGTATGGAATAGCACTGGAATATGATAAGATACTGGATATATATTAATATGCACATGATAAGTTTAACCAACTGGATGGGTAGAAACTAATCCTTAAGGATAGGGAAGGACTTGTTCAAGTGACGAATATGGAGGTGTCCAAAGTCATGGGGGGGTACCCCCAAGTCACCGGTTTCAATATTCAAAATGGTCGACCGGATGATTTGGGGGTACCCCCATGACTTAGGAAACCTCCAATATGACGTCATGTATTCGAAATACCTGTTTTTAGAGATCTTGGATCAGGAGGATATATTATAGAGAACAAGGTGTATGTATGTATAGAAATATATATATATATATGCATGTTATATATTTATACACCGTCTTCTCCATAAATGTCATATATATATACATATAATTACATATTTATATGTGTTTTGAAAGCAAAGACGCGGAATTAGATTCACTTGCACACCTGTGATTTGGATCCTTTGGTTCTTTGGTTGGTTTTTCACGAAGAACTTCGAGGAAACCATGTTGTTTTTCATGGGAAGCTGATGGAACCGGGTGCCATCCCCAAAGGATGGTCACTGAAGGTGCTTGGGCGCAAAGGAAATAGCAAACCAAGGTTTGGTCAGTTCAGTTGATGGGGAACCCATATAGGTAATTATTGGCGTACCCCGATTTTCTGCAATGCCTAGTGGTTTGATTCGAACTGACTTCTTGGATGCTGGAACCAGTGCCGTAAGTCCTGATTTCAGATTCCAAATTTTCATACGGTGCAGGAGATGCCAAGTGG